TGGATGGCTGCGTGGTCAGCCATGGGAGCACATGTCCCCTTGCACTGGCTGATGCGTGCAGTCGTGCTTTCGAGAGCATGGCTTTTAGCCAGAATCCTTAATAATAAGAAATTAAATTGCGTGCCGGTGCTGCTATGCAGGCGTGCGGCCTGAGAGCACGGTCACTGGCCGGTGCTGTGCAAACGCTGGATACCCGCACGTGTGCAAACATCTCGCATGCCGCTCGCCCTTTATCGCTCCCTGTCCCTTCACCTTCGTAAAATGATATATCTGAGACCTCTCTCTCTCGGTTTGGGGCCAGTGCGCCCTGATTTAACACATCCGTATCCAAGCCCGATTGTTGTCTCTGTTCTCCCGTTAAAAGGGCTTTGTTTCCACGTTTGCCATCCTGACATCTTCCATGTGACAAATCTGCATGATTATAAATCATGCTCCTATACTGTTCACCTAGAACACGCTCTGGTGTACTTCTGCTGACTCTTTGATTGACTTTGCATTTACGTCTGAAGTGTTCGACTTGAGAGGAAGAAACCACGAAGTGCAGCAGCACTCTGGAAAAGCCTTGCCCCAAACCATTCCCCTGTATCTCCAAGGCAATAGCTACTCTGTTTACATGAGAAGAAGGATTTGTGCTCTGGTTTTTCCTTCTGCCCCCTGCAAAGGTACCATAGATGATACTGCGCAAGATGGATTATTAACCCGAGTCCCAGTTTTCCACCCTCAGTCATTTCCGCACTTACAGGTTCATTGAAGACGGTTTGCAAATGGTTGCCGAGGTGGTCATTTTGGCAATGGTAGAGTTGGGAAACAGGAGGACCTACCGTATTTTGGGCTCCCAAGCTGTTTTGCCGAACGGTAGCCGAGAAGAAAAGAAGGTGTCGGGAGTCGCTGTGCTCGGGTTTGCTTGGCTGACCATAAGGACTTATGTAAAATGAGCGTGTTTGGATCCTCAGTCAGTATGCACAGGGCTGCTTTCAGACCACAGCACCCGATTGCACTAACGGTGCTTCAAGACGGTTATAAAAGCCCAGCTCCAACTTAGGCCATCAGAAACTTCCCAGGCAGTCTCTTTTTACCAGGGATCCTTGTTTTCTCTGCTTTAAAAAATCCCCAAATTTCAGTTAAAAAAAAGTAACCCCAAAATCCATTTTTCCATGATTAAAATGAAACATCACTAATAGATATATGACATATTTTTTAACTCATCCTAGGGTAATAAGCAGGGATCCTGGTGTTCTCCGATTAAAAAAATAATCCCAAATCCACACGTTTCCATGATAAAAATGAAACATGACTCTGTATATAGAGAGAGTGATGTTTCATTTTAATCATGAAAATGTGTGGATTTGGGATTATTTTTTTTAACTAAAAACTAGGGATTTTTTTCAATCGGAGAAAACCAGGATCTCTGCTTATTACCCTAGGATGAGTTTGCTGTCACAATCACTTAGCTGGTTGAAGTCATGGTATTCTGGTGTCTTGATTAGGCAGGTGGGAAAAGTTTGCAATTTAATGCCTTACTTCAAACTGGGTTTACCCGGCCCCACTAAGAGAAGACTGTTAAAAGACCCAGAATTGCTTGGTCAAACAGGCACCAACATAATCTGCAGCTAATCCTTGTCATATCCGCTTAGGCTCAGAAAATAACTTTATGCCTTCCTTAAGAATGGTTATACTTATTCATTTACCTGTTTCAGTCTCATTCCTAACTACCCGTTCCTTTTGATTTAGCTCTTTATTTGGATTTGATTTGTCATGCAACTGGGAAAATGCAGCCCAGTGTTGAGAGAGACTAGACTGTGAGTAATTCATTTTTTAAGTTGATCAGTTCAATGTTTTAACCTGTTGCTACCTTTAACATTAGAGCATGCAAAACGACTTAAGTAGGCTTTAACTCTGAGCAACTTCAGGGCGTCTGGTTTGTGTCAGGTCTTTAATTTTAAAGAGTTTCAGAGGCAACTGGAGGGGACATTGAAGCAATGCAGCATTGTCTGTGAAGCCTAAATTTAGCCGTTTAGGAAATGGTTGCTGCTTGGTTTCGTAACGACATCAGCTCTTACTCCTTTACAACAGACAT